CTAGTGCAACCCTACATGGAAGAGTGTAAAGGATCTTGCACCACCAGTGTGGCATCACTGTCAGTATGATGACCAAAAAAGAAGAAAAAAGGGCAAAAACAAAAAAAGAACCAAACAAAGAAGAAAAAAAAAAGAAAGCAAAAAAAGTGAAAGAAAAAAAGAAAGAAACAACAAAAAAGAAAAAAAAAACAAAGTGATTGTGTGAAAGGAAAACAAATGGCATATGAACTAAAATCAGTTATTGTTGCATACAAAATGGAGAATCCTTCAAAAAGTCCAAAAGAGCTACTTCCGCTCCAGGGTAGTGAGTTATGGCATGAGTGGGCTGCTAAAGAAAAGGAAGTATATCGGCACAAAAAGGGAGGGATGCAATCTATTGAAGAGCATGCAATGCATCTCAGAGAAGATATGGACATAATTAGAAAGATACAGTTAAGAAATGCCCACAATCTAAACCCATTGATGGAGAGTTTTCTCACTTCCTTGCTAAGCCATGAAAGAAATACTCGAAAGTACTACCTGCAGTGGACAAAAATTATTCTTGATGATCTTTCACGAGAAGTTCTTCCACCTCTACACAAAGAGTATGGGAAGAGAAGAAAAGAAATGATTGAGCTTCAACAGGAGAAGACCAAAAACATAGCAGCAATAGAAAAATGCAAGCTAGACATGGAAAAAATTAATAAGAGTCTAATATATGCTTCCTTTGGGTTAGAACATCTTCTTAGAGAAATGGGGCAACTGTTCGAAGCAATATCATACCAAGAAGAAAGTTTTCAAAATCTTATCGTTCGACTACCTAACGTAGCTGCAGAGCTACTAATTGAAGGACACCCCCTGGAATTGATGGATGGTGATGCTGCACATGTTCCCCTTACTTGGGTCACGGCAGTATTAAAACAAGTACAGGAAATACTAAAAAACCCTTCAATCGTTGTCCTTTCAATACTGGGACTACAGAGCACAGGAAAGTCTACTCTTCTCAATACACTCTTTGGCGTTCGTTTCAGTGTGAGTGCTGGCAGATGCACCAGAGGGGCATTCATGCAACTTGTACCACTACACCAGACTCTACAGCAAGAATGCAAATGTGAATATTTTCTTCTTGTGGACACAGAAGGATTAAGAGCTCCAGAGCTAGATGCAACGAAGACACAAAATCATGACAATGAATTGGCTACATTTGTCATAGGTTTAGCCAACCTCACAGTAATCAATATCTATGGTGAGACACCAGGAGACTTGGATGACATCTTACAAACATCGGTGCATGCATTTTTGCGCATGAAAGCAGTGAAACTCAGACCTGGATGTCACTTTGTTCACCAAAATGTGTCAGCTGTTATGGCAGATGAGAAAGGAATGATGGGAAGGTTTAACTTTAAAACCAAGTTGGATGAAATGACTGCAGCTGCAGCCAAAGAGGAACATCTTGAATCAGAGTATTCTACTTTCAATGAGGTTATAAGATTCAATGACGAGAAGGATGTTACTCACTTTCCCAATTTGTGGAAAGGAGACCCTCCAATGGCACCAGTTAATTTTGGTTACAGCTTCAAAGCCATTACCTTAAAGACAAAACTTGTTGATTTTGCAAGGGAAATGAGTGCAGGCCATCACATTATTGTTTTGTCCCAGTTTGTTAACATGCTCAAGCAGTTCTGGAAAGCAGTTCTCTATGAAAATTTTGTTTTCAGCTTTAAAAACACTTTGGAAAGCTCAACATACACTTTTCTTGACACTCAATTTGGAAAGTGGTCTTGGAGCTACCAGCAAGATATGCTAGAACGTGAGCATGATTTAGCAACAACAATGGCAAACAGCTCTGAAGATCCACAGGCCAGCACGATCTTTGAAGAAGCTAAAAGCATCCTTTTTGAAGAAGCGGACAGGAAGTATCAGGCCCTCAAAGTAGAAATGGAGAAATTTTTTGCAGAGAGGCCAGAAAGGGAAATATTGATTAAGTGGAAGAGTGAAACTGAAACACAACTACGTCACGTAAGAGAGCAGTTGATGCGACATGCAACAACACATTGTGAGCAGGTGTGGAAAACATACCTTGCTAAGGTCAAAATGACAGAAATTGCTGGCAATCACAGGATTGTTATAGTTCGCCGAGTCAAAGCACTTGTTTCAGATCTGCAGGAGAAGTTGGCCCACAAACAGCTAGGGGAAAAATTAAATGGAAAGCTAACCGACCAGGAGCTTGAGGATAAATTTGAGACCCAGTGGCAGGAATGGATAAAGGAGCTGCAAAAAATGTCTGTACAGACACAGGCAGAGGAGAAGGATATAAAATCAGATGTGCAATCTTCACTAAGGAAACTTTTTAAGGCTGAAGACTCTATGTTAATTAAAAAGCAGGATCCTGCTCAAAAAGGTATGTCACTGGAAGAGTGGGGTAAAATAACCCCACAACTATCAAACAAACATGTCATTGTCAAAGGAAGAATTGATTGGTTAATAAGTAAAGTTGGCTTCACCACGTGGGAACCATTAGTTGCAGAACAGACAAAAGCCATTTTTGATGAAGTAAAAATGTATTTAGATACACTTAAAAACAGAGATTTTCATCCTAGTTTTACAAATAAAGTTATTCAGATACTGATGGAAGGAATTGATACCTTTAAAAAGAATAACAAAGGTCTTGAGTTGACCAAAGAATACAAAATTGAAATTGCTCTCATCCTTTGTGGTTATGCTCTTGTACGGTTTCAGATAATGGTGACTCAGTTTCGTGAACAAAATGACCCAGTTAAGTGTTTTGAACATCAAAAGAAAAGAAAGTATTTGCAAATGTTCAAGTACCTGTATAACCAAACAGCTCAAGAACTTGCTGTAGCTCGGCTCTTTTGCAGTGACATTGAACATCAAGTTAGAAAGGAAGTTTTTAATAGGCTTTCTTTGAAGATTGTTTCTCATCTGAGAGATTACAGGGAGCCAGCATACATCGGGGAAAAAAGAGTACTGATACAAAAGATTCTACAGCGCAATGGGCAGGATCTAAGAAATCACAATTTTGACAGTTGTTCACGGTACATTATGCATCCCACATTAAGTATCAGCTCTTGGATAAGAAAGTTTACTGAAGAATTCTGTGATCATGGTCAGCAATCACGACGTATTTCTGTCATTGCAAACCGAATATTAGAAGAGCTTATGAAGGCTATTAGAGACACAGCTAAAGCTGTTACAAACACATTTGTTGTGCATGGAGACACCTTTCAGATAGTAGTGTGGATTGGAAAATTTACAGATCGATTGCGAAGCGAGTTGGAGTTAGATCGTTCAGAAATGTGTGAACAGGGAGGAGTTCAAAAACTAGGAGATATTAAATACTTCACTGATGAGTTAGTAAAAGGGCTTAAAATTGTTGATAATAAATTACAAGATGAATTTCAGCTACTAACCTCAGCCGATCTTGAAAGGTGCAGTGTCACCCCTTATGCCGCACTAGATGATGGTGTTAATGCAGTTTCTGGATGCAGAGGGTCATGTCCATTCTGCCATGAGCCTTGCTCCCGTGCTAAGGATCATGGTGGAGACCATTTAGTTGAAGGAAACCGACACCGCCCACAGTGCATGGGAGGTGTGAAGTACAGGGGAACTGAAGAAATGGTTTTAACAACATGCAATGCTGAGGTATATGACAATAGATCATTCTACAAGGACCAAACGACACATATCTTACACCCTTACAGAAGAGCTAGTGAAATATACCCAGGCTGGAAAATCGAAGCTAGTACACCAGGTGAGTCACTCAACTACTGGAAGTATGTTGTAGCTCAGTACAAGCAAAGGCTCATGGAACTGTATAACATGAAAGGAAGCAAAATTCCAACCGACTGGCAAAAACTGGAGTTGTCCAATGCCCTTGCAGACTTTGCGGCATGAAAAAGTGAACGATTAGCACATAATTATATTAATTTTGTAATGTTTTAATGTAAGTCTTAAGTGTTCTGCTTTTTTCGCTGCAAGGTCGTAGCCCTCGGTGCACATGCGCAGCAAGGGGGTTGCATATCCCAGTAGCTTTGTGGGTGTGGCACCCTAATTCCATATTTGCACGCTGGTTACGGCTAACAAGTAAATAAAAAATTCTTCGAATTATAAAAGTGTGGAGTATAGGGATGCCATAAAAAGCAAGGAGACAAGACAGAGATGACCTAGTGTACGTGATGCAGTAGTACAATGGATCATGGCTACATACTTCGAACTGACATCGCTTGCTCGTGCAAACTTTCCTCCACACAAGCACTATATTGTCGCGAAGTACGAGTGTGCTCCCTTGTATGATGCACAGCTGTGATTTGTTTCATAAGCACATTAGACAGGTAATACCATCTACTCGGTTTTCAGTTGTGACTGCATTGTGTGAAGTCTAAGACTTCTATATTTGCTCAACTAACCAGTTTTACAATGCTGCGTTCTACATATAGAATCCTTTCACCATTGTCCTCGCACTTCACTAAATAACAGTAATGTGGTGACAATAAGGGCTTGTGTGAAGGAAATTTTACACGAGCAAGCGATGCGTCAGTTCGAAGAATTATTAATTTGCTTATATCTTTTCTTTTTTTACTGCATTCACATGCATGGTGTGCAATAAAAAGGGGATATTGTTGGGCATCGGCCCGTAAGAAAGTAACATTAGTGCCTTTAAGCTATCGCCTCAGTAGTTTTTGTCGTCATTCACATTACATCAGTGCACCAACTTTCATTGCAAGAGGACCCATCATAAGCAAGTTATAGGCACTGACACCATCCAAAGTCTTTTTGCCTGAGGCTGTTTGTTGTAGTTTACAAACTTGTAATTTCTGTTTCGATGAACTTATCATGGTACATCAGTGTACCAAGTTTCATTATTAGAGGACCAACCATAAGCAAGTTAGAGGCACAAACACTATTTACAAGTTTTTTATTGCCAGTGGCTGTTTGTTGTTGTTTACAAACTTGTACCTTCTGTTTCGATGAACTCATCATGGTACATCATAGTGTACCAAGTTTCATTGTTAGAGGACCAAACATAAGCAAGTTAAAGGCACAAACACTATTTACAAGTTTTTATTGCCAGTGGCTGTTTGTTGTTGTTTACAAACTTGTACGTTCTGTTTCGATGAGCTCATCATGGTACATCATAGTGTACCAAGTTTCATTGTTAGAGGACCAAACATAAGCAAGTTAAAGACACAAACACCATTTACAAGTTTTTATTGCCTGATGCTGTTTGTTGTTGTTTACAAACTTGTAATGTTTACATTTTGATACTTATGATGGGTTGCATGTGTGTACACAGTTTTATCATTCTGGGTATTTTCTCTACCTAGTTAGAACACTTTCTTGGTCTGCGAGTAAATTAAAAACCCTGCGAAATTAAGAGAGAGAGGCATATAGGGATGGTATAAAAAGAAAGGGAGACAAGATGGGATACATGAAGCATGGTTAATGAACATATTTGAGTACGCTGACACCCCCAACCCCATCACACAATGCCTATATTGTCGCCTGGTGTGCTACTCTATAGGGAATGTGGCCTTATATAGGGGCTAAAGGTTACTAAAAGCCATCATTCTTTCAACGGGGATCGAGTCACTCTTGTGTGTGCACAAAACAGTTTGTTTTTTTGGGGGGAAAATGGAATAAAGTAGATAGGTCTAGAAGTTAGATACATTTCACAGGACCAAGTAGGCCGAAACAACCTTTTAGACCCGAGCGGGATCACCTTAAGTAGACGGACCCACGCCGTAGCGTACTAACGGAGCCTCCGCGCGTATCATCCAGAGGTCAAAGGCCACCACAAGACCGGCGTAGCGACAGTATGGTACCCCAGTGAACTGACCAGGAATGACCGCCGTTTCGAACAGTGCATGACAAGGGAAAATCGCGATATGTGGCTCGTATTGTTGTATTCGTCGTACCGTTACCGCCATAATGTCTATCCCCCTGGCCCTGTCTGCGGCGGAGTATAAACGTTAGTGTTAGTAGCTAGCTATTATGTTCACACAAGGTAAGCCAGAGCAATATCTCTGCACAGATTCTGCAATGCAGTGGATCCAGTGCGCCAATGGCGCTAACGCCACATAAATTCATCAAGATATGAAGATAACACATTCTCCTGTACTCCTTTCATCCGCTTAAAATTTGTCTTTTCCGCAGACGGGGCCAGGGGGATAGACATTATGGCGGTAAAGGTACGACGAATACAACAATACGAGCCACATATCGCGATTTTCCCTTGTCATACACTGTTCGAAACGGCGGTCATTCCTGGTCAGTTCACGGGGGTACCATACTGTCGCTACGCCGGTCTTATGGTGGCCTTTGACCTCTAGATGACGTTGCCGTTACGCGCGGAGGCTCCGTTAGTACGCTACGGCGTGGGTCCGTCTACTTACGGTGATCCCGAGCCTGTCGTGTTGCGTTTCCCCTGATTTTCCGCTCGATTCAGGTAGCATATGAAAATTTTGAAATCCCTTCGGATAAAAAGAAGCGCGTAATGCTGGAGCATGCGCAGTTGGACGACGTACGGTGACATATATAATTAGCGCCGTTTGGACCACTAGGTTAGCTCGCTTCCGCTCGCCAATTACCCCTCGGCGCGCATGCGCAGCGAGGGTTACTGTAGTTGCTCTCGGCGCGCATGCGCGACGAGGGTACTGTAGTTAACCCTCGGCGCGCATGCGCAGCGAGGGTTACAGTACTTGGGTCTGTCTGTGTGTGTGTGTGTCTGTCTGTTACTCTCAATCTCACTTCTCGAATGTCTGTTCGTCTCGCAAACGATACGACCTACCTAACGGGCAATGAAGGTCAGAAATTTCGAACGGTTTTCTCTGAAAATGCTTCGTTGCAAAGTTAGAGCGCTTCCGCCATTGTACGGCTAATGCTAGTCGGCCATTTTTATCGCTGCGGAAAATGCGCATGCGCTTATATTTTGAACAGGCTCGGGTCCGCTTGCTCTGTGTATCTTGAAGGCACGAGAAGTCAAAACGAAGGGCGTGTATCGACTCCCACATGCTATCTACTACTGTAGCTAGCCCGTGTCAGACGCTACTAGCGGGAGACCACGAGTATACCACATACTAATAGCAGCCCAGCCCATCAATTAGCGGTGCCGAGGGTTTGCACTTTAGTGCTTTTCATTGGGTGTGTCTGTGTGTCTGTTACTCTCAATCTCACTTCTCGGGTGTTCGTTCGTCTCACAAAGGATACGACCTACTTAACGGGCATTGAAGGTCAGAAAGTTCGAACGGTTTTCTCTGAAAATGCTCCGTTGCAAAGCTAGAGCGCTTCCAGCATTGTATGGCAAATGCCGGTAGTCGCCATTTTATCGCTGGCGGTTAATGCGCACGCGCTTATATTTAGCACAGTCGACCGGGTCTGCTTGCTCTGTCTATCTTGAAGGCACAAGAAGTCACAACGAATGGCGTGTATCGATTCTCGCGTGCTATCTACTACTGTAGCTAGCCCGTGTCAGACTCTCTGCGAGCTACAGGGTTTGCACTTTAGTGCTTTTCATTGGGTCAGTGTGTGTCTGTTACTCTTCATCTCACTTCTCGAGTGTTTGTTCGTCTCACAAAGGATACGACCTACTTAACTGCCGCCGTTCGTGCGGAGCAGCAAACATCGTCCAATCCCTCCCCACAACAATAAGTTTTGTTTGCCTGCGTCCTGCTGAGTGCCAAATCCTCGTTACCTTCGTCCTTCAAGTAAACGTCCTCTGTCTTCCTCAGCACCTCAGGTATGCATTTGCGCATGCGCATGCGTTCAGCTCCCGAAGCTATATAGCTAGCTATTAGCTAGCTACAGAGTAACCCTCGCTGCGCATGCGCGCCGATGGTTAATTAGACATAGCGCGCATGCGCATGAGCGCCCAGTTTTTACACATCGGGATACATTCTGGACGGCCGGTTGGGCAACCGGACAACAAACCGTCCGAAGATGTCGGGTGCTGAAAGACGACCGCCAAGTGTGTCGTTTGAAACAGCGCTTCGCATCCTTCGCGGCACATTCCACTTCGAAGACGTCCTCCAGTCGTCCTTCAAGGAACTACCCTGCTACGACGACCGCCACTTTTACTTCGAGGGCCGGTTGATTCCAACGGCGCAGCGCCGCGACACGGATGACGGAACTGCCGGGAAATTCGAACGGTTTGTATTGCGCACCAGCAACCTAATGTTCCCCGCTGGACTGGTAGAGGGGTTGAACGCTGTAATGCTCCACCTATCGTCTCGTGGAATCAACTGCAGTCGACCGATCGCCAGTCGAGTAGGTCGCTACATGGAGATGATTCCTGGTAAGGAAATCTCTCAGACCGGCCACTACCCACAGGAGTATCCAGTCAGAGTGCTTCGGTTTGTATCTGGTACACTCATGAGCGAGTTAGATGCTGAGTGTTTAACACCTACATTTCTCTACAGTGTGGGCCGCTTTGCTGGCAAAGTAGATGCAACACTACAGGTGAGTTTAATATTCCCAAAACTTCTAACCTAAACCGTTACTAACACAGGATTTCAGTCATCCAGCAATAGAGGATTTCGTGAACGAGTGCTGGGACCTACAGCACTTCTCCTGCCTCAAAAAGTACATCTCGTCTCTGTCGGAGAAGAAGAAAATAGCAATGGCCAACTCTGTCATGAAACTGTACGAGGAGAAAATAGAGCCCATGCTCCCTAGCATGAAGAAAGGTGTGATTCATGGTGATCTGAATGGAAAGAACATCATAGTGCAGCAATCAGAAAATTCTACCGCAATAGTAGGACTCATTGATTTCGGAGATTGTGTGCATTCCTACTATCTCTTCGAGCTGGCCATACTGGTAGCCCATACAATGATGAGCCTCAGCCACAACAACCGAATGGAGTTGGTTGCCCCTGTAATCAAAGGCTATATTGACGAGTTTCCTCTCACACAAGAAGAGTTGCAGTGTCTCTACTATGCCGTGCTGGCCATTCTGTGTACGACAGGCGTGAAGGGGGAACATGTGTATGCGACTGAACCAGAGAATATGCACATGCAGCACTACATTCCTCATGCCTGGAAGTTGCTATCTCAACTGCTGCATATGTCTAAAGACAGTGTAGAGGCATTGTGGAATATTACCACTGTTGAACCTTGTTTCGTGTCGTGTTCGAGTTCTGCGCATGCACATCTTTGCGCCATTTTCCGTGTGTATATACGCACATTGCAGCTGTGTAGTTCGCACCTTGCATGGGCCGTGGGGATAACCTTAACTAGAGATGCAGATTAGACAGATCATGAGCTGCTAAGAAATTGTCGTGTAGATAAAGCTTAAGGCACTCAGCACAACAATAAAGTTGAGTGATTGGTGTTCCCTATGCCTTTCTCAGCTCCTAAAACTTAAAGCTGCAACAATATCATCACATGGTCGTTATGTCCGATCGACATGGAAAGAATAGGCAAAGTTTTTGCTTAAGTTTATGTCACGGTGATATGGCTGTTTACTCAAATGGCTACAGTGTTGCTAAGGGCTTGTTGTTGTTCATGCCGTGCGTGGTTTCAGCAGGTCTTCAGCTTTTTGGTGTTCACCTAGCTTTTTCCTAACCTGCAGTAATACAATCATTAATTGACAAAGTGTGTCATTTCCATAATAATTATAACGATATAATTGTGTGTCAGTAGCTGTTAGTTGCCTGCGGGGCACAATGTGCATCCATGAAATCGTACCTGTCCTTGGAGAAGGCCTAGACCTCCAAAAAAACTTTGAGGCTTTACTTACAGTGTTGTTTTTGGTGTTGTCAATACAGTGGAACCTCCAATAAGGGATCCTCTGAGATAAGGATGACTTCCCTACAAAGGGCACCTGTTTCAACATTGTTTGACCACCGAGATAGGGCCAACCTCTACAAAATCGTTGGCCCCAAGTGTCCTTTGTTCAGAGGTTTCACTGTATTGGTAGATAAACTTTACTGTGACATTGTTACGTTCAAATCCGCCCACACGACCAAGAAAACCTATCAAATGTCATCAGACCCTCTTTCCGTCGCACAGGGGTGGGGTCTGGGAACTAGGCTACTTGTATGTACTTTCTATGGTATAATAGGCTGGGCATCATTTGGAAGACTTCTTGCTGCTTTGTACCACATTACAGACATTGGGGCTAATCGTGTAGCATAACCAACACTTAATCTCTGCTCGCATTCCTTTACGCATTTGATTAACAAAGAACTGAACCTCGATGCATTCCTTGTCAAAGGAGACACAGGCAGTCTTGCTCTCCAAGTCTCTGTCAATCCTCTCCAGTGTCCTCTGTAGTGTCCCCAGTCCCTGCCTGTAGGGGGACGTGTACATGAGTCACCAGGTGGAAACAAAAGGAAACAATGACACCTAGGACAACATGAAAAAGAGCTGGTGGGACTAAAAACCCACATGAATTAATACCACTGGATGCTACATGCAGCAGTTATCGCTGACACGGGGCATGCTCATGAAATCATACTGTGAATTCTTGGTCCTGAAGTGACACATGATGTCATGATTGCAAAAAAGCAAAGGGACAGGACAGGGATGACCTAGTTAGAGTTACATAATGTAATGCTTTTGTATGATGACATGTGCAATCATGCTCACACCTGGAGACATGACAGGATACTTCTTTGAAGCACATGCCTTCATTACATATAGATATGCCTAATAAACCATCATATTCATGACATGTGCCGAGTTGTATAAAGTTGTTTGTTCTAAAAATAGCATGCTGACGTTATCTTTAGTACACATGCGTCAGTCAGTGTATAGAGACTCACAGAGCAGTGGTGAGTTTCTCACTGAGGGAGTGCTGGACACCTGCTATCTCAGCCACCTCCTCAACCATGCCATACATTGGAGGGTCGCGACACAGCTCCACACGAGGACGATGGATCCTGCAGTGCACGCCATAATAATTCAACCAGTCAACAAAACAAGCTAATGTATATCCATGACATTACATTGGCAAGCATGGCAATTGGTAAGTTGGGGAGCTAGAGGTGGTGCAGAGTGCGCTGAGGTGTCTGGGATGCACAGTCTATGGTGCCAAGTTCTGTTTGAGTACTATAGTAATGGGTGCTATGCACTGCATTTCCCACACCTGTTCTCCAGACGAGTGTTGACCACCATCAGAGGAGGAGTCTTGTCAGCCAGAGCCTGCCTCAGGTTAGATATGCTCTCCTCAGTCTCTGCAATCTCAGCCTCTGTCTGCTCTCAGGAATGAGAAAGTGTGGAGTGATACACATGGTAATAAGGCTAACATGAAATAGGACAATGCACAGAGTGTGTGGGCCAATCGTGGTTTATTTACTACCACATTACACCCAACATGTCACATCTACACATGCAGACCCAGCATAATGACATGGACAGACCATGGGTCATGGCATGCATGAGGAGTGGGAATACTTGTACAGTTTGTTACATGTCAATGAAGAAGTACGGCATCAATCCCAGACATGAGACACCATAAATCCTATACAGACACTGTACTCATGACCTGAACCTTATAGTATTTGCACCGGAAATGAGTAACCATATGCGTAGGTTTGGAATGTGGCAACGGTAATGAATACTTTATAAGGGGCCACGTAGTTGTATGACGACTACACAATAATTATGAGAAGTATACTCGTGGGCACATGAAGACCTCTCACATTAGCACATACACTGTAATTACTCACATTCTTTTTCTGCCATTCCAGCTCATGCTGGGCTTGCTCCATCTCATGAAGCCTCTTTCTCAGAGAATAGTTAGTGGCCGTCCACTGGCCCTCCAGGATACTGGTTGTCTGAGGTAGTATTATGCACGTATGTAGATCTAATGCATGATCTGTCATCTTCAATAGTCCATAGTTGTGGGTTTTATAGGGAAACATTTCCACTCAAACCAAGTATCAAGAAACATTCTCAGAAACCAGTCAATACTCTATTCATAATGCTAGGTACAGGGGAGTCTAGAACACACTTAGTATGGAATTCTGGATACTACAAAAACACACCCTCAGAGCCTAGCCCTATAGAACACTGCACTTTTCGCCACACTTATGACAAATTCCCCTTACTGTGAACAAATTCTTTAGGTCCCCAGAAAAACTTTATTACGAGACTGCACTGTATATCTATATATGACCTGTTGAATGGCGTGGTTGATGGCTTCTCTAAGTCTAGTGGAGGTGGCTATCTCCTCTTCTGCTGTCCTAGTGTTGGCTGTTGAGAAAGCCTCCCACTGATCTGGGTTGATTATCCTACACAATTCAGAACAGATTTACGAATGATGCAATGTTGCACATACAAAACATGATTGGCAGCTAAATGAAAGCTTGTAATGAATGCCTTATCGTTACTAAGTCGGATGTCTGGGACCTAAGAAAAGGTTAGGTTATACGGCCATAATCCCAGCATTCAACAGTCCCAGTCTCAGATTGTGTCCAGGAAACTGCAAGGTGTCACTGGGGGAAGGAGTGAGTTAGGGTGTCTGGGAGCAAGACAGAGAGCAGTATATGCAGTGCATGCTCGTGTCCTAATGGATGGTTTAGTCTGGATGTGTGGCCGATGGACAAAGTGCTATGGCTGCCACCCGAGTATTATTACTACTGCTCACCCTTTCTTTATTCGAGTTGGATCGGAGTGGAAGGTGATGGTAGTGGAGGAGTTGCACAGCTCAGCACACTCTGTGTCAATCCCCAGAGCCTCATTCTTATCAGAGAGGTCATGTGACAGCTGAGCCTGAACATCTCGCAGGATGCTACAGTGATGGTGCAGTAGATTGTGACTATGACGGGACATGTGTGTGCATGTAGCTAACCATATCTGATCAAATGCCTCGTTCACTTTTTGGTGGAGGGCCATTTGCAAACTCACTATCACATCCAATTCCTAAGCAAAGTACACAGTGAGTATATTATACAGCCATGAACTGCACAGCTATTTCATGACTGGAAATTTGCTCTTGTATAAACAGAGCTCCTATGACTGTGCAAACCTTTTCCAGCTCAGATTCGGTGACGTCTGCTACCAAGTCAATGTTAAACCTTTGCTCTCTGATGCCCAGGCATTCCATGACAATCTCCTGCGGCATCATTTTTGCCTCCAGAGCCTTCTCACAGCACTCTTTGCATTTGGTCAACTGCAGCATACAGAAGTACATCTTGCAGACAGGATCATACACACAGTTTGAAATAAAAAGGGTTGCTACTATATACTTCACCGTTGGGCTACAGAATGAGAAATGGCACACACGGACTGACTGAGGTGATCTCGTCCTCTGTGTCTTGCAAGGTCTTGGTGAGAGAGAGCCTCCATGACTGAATGTCACTCACTCGATCCTTCAGGGAGTTGTCAGTGCCATGCTGCGTCCATCTTGTCACATTTTCTGCACAGGAGTCCGTGATCAGGTAGCTAGATCAGATGCAACGTTGCTTTCTCTTACCAGTGTGGTTGCTGATTTTGTGATTTTCTTGCCTGATGGTGTGCGCTGCAGCCCTCTGTCTTTCTGCGCTTGAGGATACCAGAAAATTAGAAGTTTTCCAGTCTTCCTGGGAGAACTTTGTAGCCGCCGCCATCTCTTGCATATTGACTTGCAATAACCATAGTAACCGCGTCCAGTTACGCATGCGCACTAGGGTATGCGGACAATATAAAAACTGCATGCGCATGCATGATGGACGATTGTGACTCTCCC